ATTCTGTTCATTTGTAATTTCGGCGTCAATTTGAAAAGCGATATTCTTATCTTGCGAGTTAAAAACTCATAAAATTATTAAAGGTAATGGGCTGAAAGAAAAGCAACAATGCGCTAAGTTATAATCAATCTTTATCAGTGTGGATGGCCATACCGGTAAATTGCAGATCATCTGAAATGTTCCAAAAACATGAATCTACGATGCAGTGGCTTATTTCAAAATCATGAAACCACAGAAAGTATGCCTAGAAGGAAGAGGCCAATAAAAACAACCCCACAAGATGGATCGCAGAATGGTCACTCTCGCAAAGAGAGACCCCTTTAAGGGTTTCGTTCTGATCAAGAGCGAGATTTTTGGACCAGAACCGACTGCTGGAGTATCTGCGAGGACCGTCGGAAGGCGACTGGTGGAGGCAAAGCTTGTAGGAAGAGTTCCTCGAAAAGTTCCACTACTGAAGATGGAACACAAAGAAGCAAGATTGGCGTTTGCAAGAAAGTATGGACATTAGGCTTTTGCTCAATGGATAAATGTGCTGTTTTCTGATGAAATCAAGATAAATCTTATTTCATCCGATGACAGACAATACGTGCGACGACCTGTAAAGTCCGAAATGATACCAAAGTAAACGAAGAAGCAGGTGAAACATACAGGCGGCAAAATAAAAATCTGGGACTGTTTTTCTGGACATAGAGTGTAACCTATAAAAAGAACTGAAGTTAAACTTGAGCAATTCCAATACAAATAAATATTGGAGAAAACGATGCTATCGTATGCTGAAGAAGTCTTACCAGTCTCATGAACATTTCAACACGATAACGACCCAAAACATACCGCGTACTCTGTTTAATCGTTCCTAGCGCAACAGTCAGTGACGGTACTAGATTGGCCCGAAAACAACTCAGACTTAAGCCCTATAGAGCTTATGGTATGAAACGAAGGAAAAAGTTGCAGCTCAACGTACTGGCACTAAAAATCAGCATTTCGTGGCATTTAATGGTATTTGGAATAATATTTCTTTAGAAACCTGTAATGATTTGATTGCATCCATGCCGCGCCGATGTCAAATGGTTATAACCAACAAAACCAACCATATTGGTTATAAAAATACGTTTGATGATTTTGTTTTGTATTCTATATTTATTAATGAAAACTTTTTATGTAATAAACGCTTAAATAATTTCCAATTTATTTACATTTACAGTGAAAGTGTTACGTGTCCCTAATTAGTTGTCCATCCCTAGGTCAATAAATGTGTAGGTGACAATGATTTATTTATTTTAAAAATATTGATCGCAACTAGCTAGTTTCTTTTCTGGCCTTTAAATATTTAGAATACTAGCCAAATTACTTGTTATTAATAGGCACAAGCTACAAAGCCTCGTGAAGATTTTTTTTTGGGACTGGAGAGACGGTCTTGTGTTTTAGTCATATAACGTCCCTAATTAGTTGACCACGACTGTATATAAATCTACGCAGACTTCGTCATATGACTATATAAATTGACGAAATCAAAATTTCATTAACGTGATACTTAGAGATAAGACTGAATTCGTTATATTATGCGGTGAACATAATAGATGAAAATATCAAATATTTTAACATGCTATTTACATTATTTAGTAATATACTAAATTATGTATATTTTGACACCATTTTAGAAACACGCTTTATATCACAATGCACAAATATACATTTTACAATTTCCATGCCTTTTTGTAAAAAAAAAATCTACTACATAAAAACTTTCATAAAATAATAAAAATAAATTACGTACTTAGATTTTCAACTTAACACTTACTTAATCAATTGATTTTTCTATTTAAACATAAGTATAAATCCGATTGGAACTATTCAGTTCTGATTATACATGATGTATAATATTTATAATGCATCGCATTCTGATGTAGAGGGTGTCCCGTAAATGCACGCATACAGAAATGTAGTCACACATAAATACAACTCACTTAAAGACCGTATAAGTACGTAATGTTATAATTTACAAAGTATTTACATTTCCTAATAATCGCGTCCGTATTTTTTTTTTGTTTTTTTACCCGAATTTTTATTCAATTTAGCACATTTTTTTGGGTAAATGTTAAGACGGTTTTGTGTATAAGCACTTTTATACTTGAATGTACACACACTTCTCACGTAAGTCATCAATTGCAACGATTTTAAGCGCTCGGTTATGAATGTATCGAATTAATTGAACACACATAATTATAATGTATATGTCACCGGAAAATAACAAGACTCGTAAGTTGATCAATTTTCTAGGTAGTTGATCAACTCTCGGAAAATAATAAACGGCATTTGAAATGTACTATTTAACGTATGTATTTTAGTAAGTTGATTAATTTACGGCGTCTTGCCGTTAAATCATCCGACAAAGGCAAGGTGCACGTTGATTGGTTAAAAGACTCTCGTGCTTTTATACCGCTCCCCGCCACCCGGCCGCCGCTATTACCGGTTTAAACGTAAACAAATCTATCTATTTTCTTTATTTACAGTAGTAAAATTAGCAATAATAATTATTGTTGTTTTGTGTGGTAATAATTCTCATTATAGGTAACGCGTCATTTTATTTATGATGAGTGAAATGGAGTCTGTAGTGGTAGAAATAAACAAACTTACTTATTATTAATATAACTTACAATAATAAAACTTTGAGCTCCAATATTTTTTTTAAACATTTTTCATTTATTTAACTATATAGCATAGACGAACTTTAATATCCCTATCTCTAAAATGTAAATATTAAAACAACATAATCTAAGTGTCTGTCGACCAATCAGAGAAAAGTGTATTAAGTGACGGATAATAGTGTACCGTCAAATAGTACACTGGGCAACGATTGGCCCATTTGTGGATGATTTTACTTGTAGCAATATAGTTAATTATTAAATTACGGCTAGGTACCGTAAGTTGACCAATTAGCTAGAATTCGATGCGTTAAATAGTACATTTCATCAGCCGTTTGTTATTTTCCGAGAGTTGATCAACTTCCTAGAAAATTGATCAACTTACGAGTCTTGTTATTTTCCGGTGACATATACATGTGTGTGTAAGATAAGTATATTAAAAATGGGCGGTATTATCTAAAATAATATTGTAAAGTGCTCATAAACAAAAAATTATTTTATCTCAATTACTGCTTGAGTACAGGTTTCAGTTTTTATGTTGAAATGTAAGTTTTGTCATATTATTTTGAATCGATTCTTTGTCATTGATAGTAGAAGTAAGTATTTCGATGATGATAACTATCAAATTGTTCAAATATTGTCATTAACTTAATTCAATACGTAACAAAAATGTATTTTTATTGAGTTTAGAACTATGTAGATTACTAGATTTTCGTGCTGACAAAATAAATTTGAAATGAAATTGAATGTGTAGCCAATTTGACACAATAGCGGTAAAAACGAAAAACCGAATTTAAGCATTAGTTAATTATATTATTTGGTACAATACATTATACAAAAAATACTGAAAACAATAGACTATTCGTGTGAATAAATGAATAAAATAAGATTTAGTATGACAAAAGACGATTAGCTCTGAATCCCAACGCTATTTGAAAAATTTAACATTTATCATGCAAAGTAGCTAGTCCAGTCAATAAAGCATTATAGATGGAAAACTGTAGAACACAATTTCTGACTTCAGGACTTTATTTAGACTAGTTAGGAGGTGAACATAGCAAAAGTCCCCGCCCTTAGCCCTTGAGCCGGCGGGGAGAGGGGGGTTTAAAGGTGCCACTTTTCGGTTTTTCGCTTAATCCTCGGAAACTATGCGTCCTAGTGACATGACTACTTTGAACCAAAAAAAGCATATTCAATTTCCTACAGATGAGATTGACAAGTTTTTCTATAAATTGTATAGTTTTCGCGGCATCTGCTCTAGAAGGTCTGTAATATTGGAAATTTTATTTTTGTCTTACATGTTCCCATCAGGAGAAAATCGACTAAATCAACATTGAGCAATCATTCTAGACATGCGGGAGCATGTTAAGCCTAGTTCCAGCGAGGGGACTACACCGTGCGTATATTTAGACGAATCACTTTGAGCCACTTTTGACTCCTCATCACTCAAAAACTACTGTGCATTAACACTTCAAATTTGGCTCATGTGTTGAGACTTGCAAGATATACATCAGTTTCAAATTTCATAAATATGCCTCAAACGGTTCTTTAGATATTGACGTCCAAAAATCTACATGTCTGACCTATAGACCAAATTCTAACCACTTCCAGATGACCTCGAAGGTTCAAATTTGGCATCCAGAAAGGTAGTTATGTAAATACAAAGGAACAAATAAAAAACCAGTAAATTTTAACATTTCACATGTGATAGATAGATAGTAGTGCTCTAAATATCGATTTTTGAACGTCAATACCTAAATAACCGTTTGAGGTATATTTATGAAATTTGAAGCTGATGTACATCTTGCAAGTCTCAATACATGAGCCAAATTTGAAGTGTTAATGCACAGTAGTTTTTGAATGATGAGGAGTCAAAAGTGGGTCTAATTGGTTCGTCTTAATATACGCACGGTGCAGTCCCCTTCATGGAACTAGGCTTAACATGCTCCCGCATGTCTATAGTGTTTGCTCAATGTTGATTTAGTCGATTTTCTCCTGAAAGGAACATGTAAGACAACAATAAAATTTCCAATTTTACAGACCTTCTAAAGCAGATGCCGCAAAAACTATACAAGATATAGAAAAACTTGACGGTCTCACCTGTAGCAAACTGAATAAGCTTTTTTTGGTTCATAGTAGTCATGTCACTAGGACGCATAGTTTCCGAGGATTAAGCGAAAAACCGAAAAGTGGTACCTTTAAACCCCCCTCTCCCCGCCGGCTCAAGGGCTAAGGGCGGGGACTTTTGCTATGTTCACCTCCTAACTAGGCTAAATAAAGTCCCGAGGTCAGAAATTGTGTTCCACGGATTTCTCTCTACACCGTCGTTAAGGCATTCATTGACTGGACTAAGCCGCGTTTAAACGGCGTCTAAACTTGTAACTACGATTGACAAAAGACGATGTAATAATGTTCCACGTTCAAAATTTATTGTTTCTTGACATGTATCGTTCAAGGCAACCGCACTTTGGCGGTAGCTGCTGGAGACTGTAGATAACAAAAAACGATCTGACGTTCCACTTACGAAATTGATTGTTTTTTGACACGTATCGTGCAATGAGGCCACGATCGGGCGGCTGCGACTGGGGACTGTGGATGACAAAAGACGATCTGTTCCACATTCGATAGTAGGACTATCACGGAGAGTAGACGGTCGTGGTCGGGGCGCGGGTGACGCGGGGCGGGGGGCGGCTGCGGCGGCGGGTGCGCCCGGGCCGCGCGCCGTCATACCCCGTCCAGCTGCCGCACTCTCACATCCTGGGACGCACACATATCCGGAGCCAGCGGCAAACACGTAAAATACGCGCACGCCGCACACTCGTACGCTGGAGCCGCGTAAAACAACGCCACCAACGCACACAGCATACCCGCTGCCGATATCATACACACCCACACTAGCACGATCTTCCTCCTCCTGTCGTACGGGCCGAAAGTAATGAACGGGAGCAACGCGTATGACAGTAGGAATCCGAAGACGAACCCGAATACGTGCGCGAAATTGTCTATCCATGGAAGGAGGCCCAGTAGGAACAGGGCGATCGCGATCCCGATAAGCCTCAGGAGTGCTCGCCTAGGATGCTTTAGAAGTGGCCACGCGCCGATTACTTCCACTATTAGACACGCTAGAAGACCGAAGTGTGAGCCCGCTGGCCCCACCTGGAAAAAGAAAACGATGTATGTTATAGCATTTGTACCAAAACAACATCACTTGTAAATATCAAAGTGTTCTACTCTTTAGCTGTTCACTGACACTCTTAAGATTCATAAGTATTTGGCAAACAATCTATAATAGTAAAAAGTGTCCTCACCTCTGCCCTATAAGGCTCAAAGATGGCAGACGCCATGTTCCCCGCCACCCCGCTACCTAAGTAAACTATTGCTATTCTGACTGGTCCGGCCATTTTCTCCAGGTCTCTCATGAACAGCCACTGCAAGGCTAGCGTGGCCGCCAGGTGTAAGAGACCAGCGTGCACGAACAACGAAGTCCACGCACGGTACAGCTGGTCTGGTCGACGTCTTCGCATGAAGGGCAGCATGCCGCAGACGTCATCAAGGCATGAAACCTGGAAAGGAAAAGATTGAGATCGGTGTAGATTCTGATAGAGGCACAACCCTTTACACACAAAACTATTGTGATGTTAATGTCTCCTCATGATAAATCTTGATTTAGGAGAGTTAGGTTTAAAATTTTGGTACAGAAATAAGTACGCATAGCACTATTGGATATGGCATCATATTTTACAGGTATATTCGCTCCAGTAATGTCTCATCCGTAGCTCATGTCAAGACATACTGCTGCAACAATCATTCCTAGCTCAAAACCACTCAACATAATGAACGCTATGCGACGCTTCTTCATGAAAGTACCCCTTCACGAAGTTACAGTGTTCCCGCGTGGTGATTTCACTCTACCCGTGGACCCTTTTGCAGCATGGGTGGCCGATGACCTCGCAGGTAATGTGCTCGGCGATAAATACGACTTGGTGCTTCACATACGCACTCCAACATAGCTAAACAAACTTCCTGAGATGACCGTAAAAATACGAACCTGTGAACACAGCGACGTTTCTTCATGAAAGTACCCCTTCACGAAGTTGCAGTGTTCCCGCGTGGTGATGTCACACTGCCCGTGGACCCCTATGCAGCACGGGTGGCCGATGATCTCGCCGGAAATGTGCTCGGCGATACGTTTAAATGCTTCGGAATAAACATAGCTAAACAGACTTGAGATGGCATGTCTATAAACGAACCTGTGAGCACAGCGACGCTTCTTCATGAAAGTACCCCTTCACGAAGTTGAACTGTTCCCGCGTGGTGATGACACACTGCCCATGGACCCCTATGCAGCACGAGTGACCATTGACTCCGCAGAATGCTTCGTAACAAACATAGCTATACAGACTTGAAATGGAATCTCTGTAATATACGAACCTGTGAACACAGCGACGCTTCTTCATGAAAGTACCCCTTCACGAAGTCGCAGTGTTCCCTCGTGGTGATGACACACTGCCCGTGGACCCCTATGCAGCACGGGTGGCCGATGACCTCGCAGGCCATGTGCTCGGCGGCGTGGCCGGCCCGTCCCGCGGCCGCGGAGCCGTCCAGCACAGACTTGCGGCAGATCGGCCATTTTGTGATGTCGTCCGGCCACTCGTGCGGCGCTATCGAGCGGGGTGCTTCGCAAAATCTGAAGAAGAGAAGAAGAAAGTTTATGAAAGAGTTTGGTTTCGTGGTTCAGACAAAATCTACGAGGGTGTAATAGCTGGTAGTTAGCAGTAGTCAGTTAAATAGTAAAAAAGGATAATAGTGAGATACATGAATAAGCCGAAATTGAATACAAGAATGACGATGAAGAAGTCAATTTTTATACGTAATGAATTTAGATCTCAACATATATTTTTTTAATGTTTACTCTTGCTTTGTCTACCATATTTTGCTGAATAAAGACTTTTAATTCTTAGATAGTTTTAATAACTTTATATCGTGCTCATTTATCTATTTGTCTGATGTAATTTGAATCTAATTTAAAGCCACAGCTTGGTAATGGCAATATTTTCAGAATCTATTAGACGAGTAATAAATTACGCAACAGGATTTTTACAAGTGCTCTCTACAATTTAAAAGGGTGATAAATCACTGTACATAATTTATGGAAATTCCAAGTGACAACCATAAGCTAGAACAGATTGCCTTTTAGAAAATAGTTTGTTTGGTACCCAAACAGTTCACAATCATTACAATTCATGTCAACAAAACAAATTAAATAAACTATTGGCCTATGCCCGTGACTTTGTCATTGTAGATTTCAATTCTTATCATAGGTAATCGTAAATCGAATAGTTTTTTCGTGAATGTGGAATCCATTCATCCTCACATACTTTTGCGTTAAAATTGTTAGATAGATTGTTTAAAATATAGGCAGGTAGGTACGGCAACTTACTTGGGGTCTAATCCACAAACCGATCCTGATATCCGACCACCAGGGCCGGATTCCCCTGAAGACCACTTTTTCCACGTTGATATTGTATTCTGGAACAGTAAAATCTCATGTGAACATAATTTTATTTTTTTATTTTATTTATTTATTTGGGAATAACAACAATATAATATTCACCAATTTAAATTATCTACTTCATGTTGGTAAGAAAACGCTATTACTATTTTGGAATTTAATATACCTACATGGTCTACAATTTAGATCTGCCTTAAAAACTCGATCTACTTTGGTCATATTATTGTTAAACCTTAATTAATTAATAATGTAACCTTACCTTAGGTATTAATCCTCGTATCTGATTGAAAGCATGCGCAAAAATATAATATTAAGTTTAATAATAATCATCATCAGTATTATTTAAAGGAGGACGACCCTCTCTAATTTACCAGACGCTTTGGTTCCTATACTCCCCACGTTGGCTATGCAAGGCCGGTTGGGAAGCTTGCTTATTTGACCATCAGTCCCATTTTAAGACTTCCACGGAAAGAGAAGAGAGAACGAGAAAAGGTTTGGTCTTATTGCCGGAACCACACGGCAAGTTCGAGTTTAATAATATTGGCATAAAAAGTTAGAATCTCTACGATGTTTTTTCATTACTAGTGATAACACATCGCTTTTTTGTTATCCTTATTCAATAAAAATAAGGATAACAATTAACATATTATTATTGGTAAACAAGCTTTGGCCATGAGAATAAAAAGATACATCAGTGGAATAAAATAAGTTATCCTCGTTTATCAGGACACTGGCATAATTAAGGTTATTTGCCTTTGTTGCGACATAGCAACAACGAGTTCTTACTAATGTTGAACTTTGTTCCCCAATCATTTCAAGGCCATCGATCACTATGGCAGACGAATTTTTAATTTAACATCTATTGTACTATTAATTAGAATGGACATAAATTATTTATAATGTTTTTTTTTTTTGTAACTGAGCGAAACAAAAAATACATCATGCAAGTTTATCCTTTTAGCCATGGATTCACATGTTTACTCTCTTTGTTGCTTTAGATTTTTAACCAGTAAAAATTAGTTTATAGTACGGTATAACTGGGCTATACATGGCATGCTTGGTAAATCACCTGAATATTTTGTCTGAGTGGGGTTTAGATCTTTCAATCTTCACTGTCAGAATTTCCTGTTTTTTTATCTGATTCATAAAAAAAAAATGCGCGAACCACATCATCTTCGATATAGTTATTATAATTCAGAATGTAGGAAAACGTATTATCTAAAGTATCCATTGTTAGATGATATACAATAAGCTTTAGAAATTTTAAAAACCTGCTACGAAACACTAAAATTTGCACCAAAAACAAAGGAATTTATATTATTGGGGGATTTATTAGTACGTGACCGGTTTAATAGCACCTATTAAACCAGTATACCTACTTACTTATTTTTTATAATAGGTACAATTCAATATTAAAAAGTCTCAACGCCAAATTCGACTTGCGAAAGAAGTAAATGGGAACGATGAAATTCTCTTAGCGCGCACAAGTGACAACGACGTCTGCCCTCACGTGTCTGCCCGTTCGGGTCGACGCGGTTAGCTATCTTATCCCCGCTCCCGCGCGAGACCACGCCCCGCAACTCACGCGCTGCAGCGCAGCGAGCGACCGATCTTCTTGAATCGATGTAATAATAATCTATAGGATTAACGCGTTTTAAAAATATTGGTTCGATGGATATGTTTAACCTATTATTACTCAACAATCACATTTGTAATATTAAACTTTATCAAATGCACAATGTATTTAAGGTACATTACTGGATAAGGATTAATGGCGTATTGCTTGAATAAGCTAATATTTCTCGTAAAAAGTACCTACATTATAAAGATTTTATATCATCGCGGATTTTAAAAGGTGTACAATACTGTAGTATATTTTTTGATCTATCTTATAAGGTTCAGCCATCGTTTTCAGTGTAAGCACAATAACTTAACCAAAATTACAGTTAAATCAACCTATCTCAAAAACTATAAGAGATACTTTGATCAAACCAAAAATCGTTGAAAGAGTTAATTAGCATGCATCACCTCTATTTTTTTTAGAATTTTATACCCCGTAGTTATAAAAATAGAGGGGGGGGGACATACTTTTTACGACTTTGAGAGCTGATATCTCAAAAACCGTTCACTTTAAGAAAAATGTTTTTTAGAAAACTTTATATCATTTTAAAAGACCTTTCCATTGATACCCCACACGGGTATGTACATCGAAAAAAAATTTTCATCCCTCAGTTACATGTATGGGGGGCCCCACCCCCAATTCTTTTTTTTACTATTTAGTTTCATAATTTTGTAGCGGTTCATACAACACATATTCCCATCAAATTTCATCACTGTAGTACTTATAGTTTCCGAGTAAATCGGCTGTGACAGACGGACAGACGGACAGACGGACAGACGGACAGACGGACAGACGGACAGACGGACAGACGGACATGACGAAACTATAAGGGTTCCGTTTTTGCCATTTTGGCTACGGAACCCTAACAACTAATGAATTCGATCCTTATTATCTTCTTTTAAAAGATATCATAGTCCCAAAATTGAACTCACCGAACAGTCAGCCTTCGAAGACTGCACGCACCCCGAGTCGTCGTTTCGTATGCAGCACGCTGTGTCTCTCTCTCTCCTCGCTGAAGCAGCTATGGCTCTTGCTATCCTAACGTCCCTTCTCATGCAGGGCGCGAACTTCGCCCCCAAGTGTATAAGGTCTGCGGCGCGTGGTCCTAGCCAGAATGACGCTGGCTCTTCCCACTCCACCTGTGGAAAAAATAATTAATTAGGTAATTAATTAAAAACTTTGAGCTGGATGAGAGGTATCTAAAGTTGCCACTAAAACTGTACGGTTAAACAGAGTGAGTCGGTTCACTTCTTCTGTTCAATTAATTCACTCTGAATAAGAGTATTTTTGCTATTGTGAGTTCTATCTTCTGAAGTCAGCCATCGCACTCAATTACATGGGAAAGTTTAAAATACCCGTGGAGATTTGATAATTTCAGCTTAATCACATTGACCTCAATCCCGCAACGTCCTAAACTAATTGAATTAAAGACGTGACTTTATAAATTTTGTATGTATCCTACATGGGAATGGAACCGAAGCCTAATGATCCACATCTAATAATGTATTCACATTAAAAACATATTTGAAGATCGACTGGGATTCAAAAATGTTTAATCCTCTAGGAGAGCAATGAATGTGGATTGTGTTCTGGAATCGTCAGTAAAATTCCCCAGAGTGCTATTGAGTTGCCGAACTTTTGGTGACTACGAGAAATTTTTGTTGAAAAAAGCTGACAAAGTTATGAATAGGTATTTATTTTCTCTATCATGCATTAATATTTATGTACTAAGTAGGTACTTGACTTTTTAAGAACGTTGCACTGAAAACAACAGGATATAATTATTGCCGTGTCTAATCCGATGTGTAGACACAGATTTCATAAGTGGCTTTACCAGCCTGTTCACTGCATTAACTCAGTGAAAACCTAAACATCAAAGTATTCCCAGTTTCAAATATCATAGACATACGAGTGTCATTTCCCCGTCCGACAAATACGCGCCGTGTGGCGAGCCTACGCAAAGATACTCTGAAAGGAGACAAAGCGACGCGGCTCACAAAGCCGACCTACATCTGCTAAACACCTTTATATTTCATCTGTACGTACGTTTGTTCTATTGCACGTCGTTCCTTCATTGTTTAGTTTAGAATATACTTATTTTCGGGCCGTGGAAAATTTTAGATTGCTTCAATCTTGTTGTTCACAAAAATAACTCTGTGCATTGTTATGAAAAATGAACGAGTATCAAGGATTTGCTTTAGCTTTACTTATTTATTTAGTTATAATTATCAAAGTTCTTTGTAGTTATTGTACAGGAAAAAAATATTAAGAAAAGGCACATAAAATTCCAAGTGTACTTTTCTTGAATGGCCTTATTTAAACTTGGTCGACTATATTTTTAAATTGTGTCATTTTGTTTATATTAGAAACTAGCGGCCGCCCGCGACTTCGTACGCGTGGATCTCGTTTTACCCCCCCTCCATCTATCTTACGCGGTTCTGATTTTTTCATACAAATGTTTTTTCCCGATAACTCCCGTTCCCGTGGGAATTTTGCAATATTCTGTTGTAACTATGCTTTAAGTTTACTAAGGTACCTGCATGCCAAATTTCAAGCGTCTATCTTACGCGGTTTAGATTTTTCATACAAATGTTTTTTCCCGCTAACTCCCGTTCCCGTGGGAATTTGCAATATCCTGTTGTAACTAAGCTTTAAGTTTACTAAGGTACCTGCATGCCAAAATTCAAGCGTCTAACTTAAGCGGTTTAGATTTTTCATACAAATGTTTTTTCCCGCTAACTCCCGTTCCCGTGGGAATTTTGCAATATCCTGTTGTAACTAAGCTTTAAGTTTACTAAGGTACTTGCAAGCCAAAATTCAAGCGTCTAAATTAAGCGGTTTAGATTTTTCATACAAATGTTTTTTCCCGCTAACTCCCGTTCCCGTGGGAATTCCTAAGTATCCTATAACCTGCCCAGGAGTATGAAGAATAATTGTACCAAGTTTCGTTAAAATCCGTTGAGTAGTTTTTGTTTCTATAAGGAACATACAGACAGACAGACAGAAAGACAAAAATTTTACTGTGTACCTACCATGAGTTTACGATAAGTGTGCTCGCTAGCGAGTACGTCAAAAATCTCTATGAAGATTTTGTTTCTTGAAAGTAGCCGCTAGGGGCGCTGAACAATATGTCATACAAGTAATGTCATTTTTTTACGCAGTCGCTAGCGAGCACACCTAACGTAAACTCATGGTAAGCACACTGATTGCATTTTTGGCATCAGTATCGATCACTAATCACCCCCTGATAGTAGATAGATATTTTGAAAATATATTTCATGTACAGAATTGACCTCTCTACAGTGTGCCTACCATGAGTTTACGTTAGGTGAGCTCGCTAGCGAATACGTCAAAAAATTCTATGAAGATCTTATTTCTTGAAAGTAGCCACTAGGGGCGCTGCACAATATGTCATACATTTAAATGTCATTTTTTACGCAGTCGCTAGCGAGCACACCTAACGTAAACTCATGGTAGGCACACTGATTTATTATAAGTATAGATAGATAAGAGGATAAACTTATATTGCAAAAATGTTACGAAACAGATAGCTATTTTAAAATTCTTATCATCCACAAGGCAACTTTAATATGAATTATTACATCTCTCCCCTGATATCACCTGTTTTTCTGTTTAAAAATTGTCGAGGAAAATATCTGACCTAAAAACTTTGGAACTTTACCTTCTAAGGTAAGGCGCTTTTAACACAATTTTCCTTATGATCTCATGATCTCAATATCTGATTACGAAACATCGTTAAAAACCTTCGCTGTAATTAATCATGTTATTAGAAGGCAGGTGAGACGGCTGTTTTGTGATGTCTACACGTTCATTATAATTATTATTGATACGTTTTCCTCAATAAATAGGATGTAAAAGCGAGCTTGATCGTAGATATTTTGAAGATATGAACATGTTTAGGTACCTGCGTATAATCTTGGAAGGAATTCTACCATCATAAAAATGGAAATAATAAATAAGAGTAAGCACTTATCTGTGGAATAAAGAATTTCCGTAACAGACTGAAAACCACGAAAATCTAGTCCCAAAAATCATGCTGCGACTCAATTCTTCAAAGGAAATTTTGAACACCTAAAACGTTTTTATCGAGTCCCGCCAGTAAAAAGTTTAGATCCAACTCTATGACGTCACATCTCAGGACAATACACTCGTACAAAACACATCCAGCAGCTAACTCCCGTGTTTACACACAAACAAAGGCTTGAGGCGTAATAAATCCGCTAAGTAAATATTGTGCATTGTCTCCTAAGCGCTTTCTCAGACATTAAATCTGGGGGCATGTTTTGTCTAAAAGCTTTTCCTCATTTAACCTTGTTAGAGCAACTTGTGTAGGTACAAAAGAAACGGAATTTGCGTTGACGCGCATTATGACCTCCCAAATGACGCGGGCCAGCGTTTTAGTGTTAAATGTAATTTTTTATTAGACTAATAGCTTTAGAACGCGGGAGTCTGGGGGAGTTAATTGCCCCCTGATGAAGCCCTTACAAATTACAACTGTCATCTGCGTAATTTGTAATTATAGTAATGTTGAGAACATATTTAACAGTGTTTTGAGTATTGCTGTATGGGGGCCATATAAAGCTTAAAATAGCATTATGAAAGTATGTAATAGTTAACAATTAGGTATGTATGTATTTATAGTCGGAAAGATGATGAGCAGTAGGAGCCATAATTAGAAGAAATACATATAAAATTTTAGATTTCTTCAAATCATTTAAATCAAATACATAACATCAAACTGAATGTGTTTAGAAAAATTTCCGTAAGAAAAACCACTAAAACTGTAAGCCGCAACATGGTACATAAAATAACTCATTCGAGTGTAAAAAACTGCGCATATCATTTGCCAATGTCTCGGAAAGAAAAATCCACGTACGTAATGTCTTAGGGTTTCCCACAAAAAGTCGCAGTTCATTGTGTACCTACTTCTCCCGTGAAGCACATTCATTGTTCCCATTCCGGATTAAGTAAAATATAAAGAATATTGCGGGGTTATTGTCCTAAAAACTCTTCAGAAATGCGTGCCGTTTTTGTTTTTATTTTAAACTTTTTCATGCCTACCCAAGCGAGCAAGGAATACATTGACCCATTTCAAAAGTAAGTGGAAATGAAGACATTAATATAATTGTCCAATAACATTGAGACCGGCATTTTGAATATTTTTCAGTACTTTCTTTTACATTTTATGTCACTGGCCAAACTGATCACTTTAAAAAACCTAGCGGCAGTTCCGAGTACATGCTGACCAACCACGTGAAAATAATAAGAGCTATATGGGTCGCACGACGAAAGTTGAGGCGAACACATAGTAGTCACACTGATGTAATATTTGAATTCAGAATACACAAATCAGCTAGAATCCGCGGGACGTCAGCGCGTCAAATATTCGCTTGTGTGTGATGCCTCAACTCTTGCTACGCGACCTATATCCTACTTTAGGGGTTCTCACCTGTTGTAAACTCAAACTCTTCACTAAGACTTGTCCGGAATGCGTGTGTCGGCCAAACCCGACTGGTCCAAAGCCGTAACATAGTAGCGACAGCAGCAGCACCAACGTCTGCACCGTGCTGACCCACCACGTGAAGTAAGGCCGGTAGTCAGTCAGCTCGTCGAGTTGGCGCGCTACGTCTTCTTGGTGTGTCACTGATTTTCTTAACGATCGTCTGAAAATTAACATTAAGAACTCGTATTCATCTTTGTTAATCCTGATAATACCATAAAGTATCTAAACCCTTATAACAGCTTAATAAAAGAGGGAAAACACTTGCGTAATAGGTAAATGATACATTATAATAAAGTTATTCGATTTAAGTTAGTAGCAAAATTTTAAATATTTGAGGTTGAGATTAAGATACGAGTTCAGACTGACTAGATTTTTAGCTTTTGCTTAACATACTCGACAAAGAAAGAACATGTTAGCAAGATTTAATATAAGAAATCCATACAGATAGTAAAAAACCTTTCATCTTCAAACATGTGGTGCATCTAAATAGTAATTTATAAAATAATGGAAAAAATAAACAAAGCAAATAGCTTCTCTTTGTACGAATCGTAACTATTCCAATCACAAAGCTTTAACGTAAATCTCTTATAGACGTTCCATTTCAATTTAGAAAGAGCATTACTACAATAATGTTTTTGTACGCGCTATTGAAATAGATTAACAGGCACATAAAGGCGCACCCATGTTAGGTGGACCCTGTGGGTGTAGCTTTCACATGTAAATCTCGAAACACATTCTTATTCATTGCCATGTCTGGCAAAAAATATAAGTAGTTTTTATCCTAAAAGCATTGAAATAGCCAACAAATCGAATATTATTCTGCACTAGTCACAAAATTAGCTCTATCAGAGCCAGGACATAGAGTTCAATTTTATTATCTGACTTCGTAGTCAGAGTCTATTCCAACACCATTCCTGGGTCTGATTCCAACAAATTGCAATTACTTTGTGTAATAATTCCCAATTTTATGCCCAACCTACCTGAAACGTGATTCTGCGATGCTAATAAAACAATTTAAAATGAAACAGTCAACCTTTATCATAAGACTTATGACTAAATTGATTGAATTATCACATCATCGGGTCATTTAGTCTCCACTGCGAGCATGATTCTTCTTTAAGTTTCTTCAAGTTAGATTATCACTGCACCGCGGAAATCGCAAGTTGAATCAAGTGCTAATGCATCCAGGGTATCTTCACAGATTCATACATAATATGCACGCCCTGCTTTCGCCCTGTACTCTCCTATTTATACCTGTGTTTATTAATCGGTTAAAATCGTAAGGTGCGTGTTTAACAACCGGCCAGTTCAACCCTCGGAAATCAGTAAATAACGGGCAGTCATAAATTATTCTGTGTCACATCCACGGTGTATTAATTCTAAAAGCCATTACAACAACTTTTAAATGGGAGGTAAACGCCATGATATATTACGAGTACCAGTGAAATATGACCGGATCATTTTGTTGTATTATTTTTTGCTTTGCAAGTGTCGCATTAAGCGAGATTCATTAAAATTACCTGCTAGAGATGTAGTGTATTGAAATGAGCGGGTATTGATTGTGTCTATTATTCCTACTTAGTATAAAAATTAATTGTCTGAATATGAGCAGAGGATGGCATTAATTTTATTTATCGGACTGAACTAACATCTAGGGACATCTATCAACTATGGATCAAATGAGTTTATGAAATATATTTTTAAAACTTCAACAAAATCAGAAGGAGCAACAAACATCTACCCAACGTCACTAACTTTCATATTTATAATAAATATTACAATTTAAGGAAATCTAATCCTATCTAATAGAAGTCTATCCTTTAACATGTTATTCCTAGTGTGGGACCCGCAGATAAAGCAATATAATGTTTACCGGATAAATTGTTACCAATTGTAAGTCAAAGTCAAAATTTCTTTATTTGTTTAGACTAATAAATAGTTCTTACAAATCGTCATTTTGCTCTTAAGGAGCCTCTACATGTCTCATAATCTTTTTACCCTACCAGCGCTTCGAGACCAACATTTGGCAAGTGCTGAGAAGAAGCGCCGCAACAAACTCAGTCACCACTGTCTGCCGGTTAATATAAATAAATAGAAATTGAATGTATTTGAAGGTGTATGCGTAGGTAAACCTTGTGTTTGCATAAATAAAATATTTGTATTTGTATAACATAAAAATACCCGATACCGATAGCGAGGAGGCACAACACTACAGCTAGCCCGTACTGGGGCTAATTTATGCGTCGAGTTATAATAACAGTTGCTAGCACTAAGCGTATCTGAAAGAATAATAGTGGATATTTTCACTTGCTTTCGTAATAAAGTGGCTATAGTTAAGCTACAAAAGAATATTAAAAGGGTTCAGTACGGATAAATGAGGTAGCTAGCTGAACAATAGAAGTTAAAGGGTAGAAAAAGTTGTGAAGCCCGGATTTGACAACCAACTGACAACCTAAAATGGAACAATGTATTAAACATCCAACCAATTTTGCAATATTTCAACTTATCATTAAATACGTAGATTAAATAATTCTGGCACACCACACAACACTGACAAATGAAAATGTTTAGTAAGTTGAAAAGGCACAAAATACTATTTCAAGTAGTGCCCATAAATTAAATTTCATATTACCTACCTGAACTGAAACTTATTAGAGACGTAACGAAGAAATAGTTAGGTGCCTACTAAACTTGGAAGGTCATGAAGTATAAAATAAAGCTGGATGCCATAAATTCGCTAATGATGCCATTCGAGCTGCAGCATCTGTTTCGAGTTTTCTAGATTGCCTACCATAAAGACGCCTTTAGCAGCGGAACTCCGAAAATGTAGGCATAATTTTATACGATCGCAAAAAATATGTTCACATAAAAATGTGCCGCTAAGCGTAAGCGCTGAATTTGCCGTCATTAACGGGGACCTTGGGCGGGCGTAATGTGGCCGAGACTTGGTTAGAGGCTATGAAAAAAGCGGATTTTGAAATTTCAACATCTTTACTCTGTAAAACTAGTTCTTAAAGGCGTTAGCTATTATGATCGTATGATATTATGTAAATTAATTTAACTATCTTCACATTTTCTTAAAAAAAATATGCTTGTAATAGTCTTGCACAATAAGGAATATGGTTTTAAAAAAAAATGAATTTTTTTGCTGCATGTGCCCATTTAAAATCTGGCATCATCTACGCCACGCAGGCCATGGTAATTTTAATGTTCTTTCTTACTTTCTTTAAAAGCAAAACTCTTTAATCCTTTTATAGACCTTCATGACCTTTACATTAAACATCTCGCATTCTATCATAAGACACGGAAACATAAAATAACTTAATCTCATAGGTTCTTAGTGGCATTCAGTGTCTCTCATTTCGTAGCCGCACGTTTGTATCTCGTACGCACAGACGAGCTGGTAACGACCTGTCACTGTCTCACCTACCGTGATACATCGCCGCCCGATTACTTTAATTCTCTTTAACACATCTGTGTCTTGAACTAGGAGATATTAAGCTGTGATGTACAGGATTAAGGGACAGATTAAGGGTCTTATTGGCCGCCTAATAGATTTACGGTTAAAGTTACTTTAGTGTGATGAGCATATAACTACAGTAAGACCCGGTTTCCACCAAAGTGGATAGAAGAGGAGATGTGTTGTGAAAAACCAATCAGGTTTTGGAAAGACAGCTGCAGACAGCGAATTCCAGTCACTAGGCTGTACTGGATATCCTCCTTTTGCCTCTGCTAAATTTAAGAGTGGTATGGATCCTGTAGTGGAGACTAAATGACCTTATTTACTGTATGTAGAAAGAAAATAATATTCAATGCGGCTTTTATAAGAATTAATATTAAAGGCGATGACCTCAAATAGCAAATGTTATAGCTCCCATGCTTTGCCTTAAGCATTTAACTGTTCATTAGAATTATAAGTGTAATTACCACAATTAAATATTCATTTATTCACCTGGCTAAGTTGTTACCCAGGAATAATAAAATTGTTTCTGCTTAGCGATAAACTGATTTCTATAAATCGCGTTTACTACTCGTATTCAATGCCGGTAAAACTTGCAATTTTTTCGAAAATTCAGCTGCCACCACATTCTCTACTCGCACTTCAAAAATAAAGTGAAAACAAAAATCAGGTGAAATTTGAATATTTTTATCAGGATATTTTTTTTGTTGCAAAAGCTTCGCGACATCTTTTCGTCCAATTTACCACGGAATGTCTTTGTTTGACCAGTATGTCACCACGACAGTAATGACATACATGGTACGGGGAGTTTGGGCTCTTTCCCACGTGGACATCCCGTTTTTAACAGCCTAATATTTATGCTGGTTCCCGCAAAACTGGACTTTCGTAGGAAAAGGCTCTCAAAATGGAAATAACCTCAATATTGAGACCGATTTTCACACACACAAAGACGAGGATCACTAATTTATTAAACAGAGTAAAAACGAAGAAAAATTCTTACCGGAAGAACCTTCCGACTACCCCCATGCCGAACTGCCTCCTATTCGAGTTGTCGGCGAGAGGTTCCAGCATCGGGGTGTGGATTCTGGCGCCCCCCGCGCCCCACGAGACACTTCTCTCGGGCCTCCGGTACTCCACCCCGCTGGATCCAATCGGTGATCGGGCTCTGGAAATAAGAGTGACAATTAATGTAATTATCAGGCTAGTCAATAAACGACAATAGACATAAATAAGTGTTAGTAGTAGTTTCGCACGAAATTCGTTCGCACGAGGGTGAAATGCCTACTAAAAATATGTTATTATTAAAAGGGGACGTTTCGCACATTCGTGCGAACGAATTTCGTGCGAAACTAGGTACTACTAACCCAAATATAAGTATTAGGCTAATTAACACTTAAGTCTTACCCAAGTCCATCCTACTTAATATTATAAATGTGAAAGTTTGGATGTCTGGATGTCTGGATGTTTGTTACTCTTTCACGCAAAAACTACTGAACGGATTTTGAGGAAACTTTACCGTATTATTGTTTAAAACCCAGAACAACATATAGGCTATAATTCATGATGATCTGTGACAAACTAAATTTCACGCGGGTGCAAGCTAGTCTTACCTAAGTCTGTCGCCGTAACAACAATGTTAACAGCATTGTTGTGTTCCGACAGTTAGAGGTAAGATAGCCAGTTCCTCCGTGGTTGACGATTCCAGGTGTAGCTCGCTTCCACCTTCGGCCTGATCATCACTTACCATCAGCTTCCTCGTTGTGGATAAAAAAAAACCGACAATAACCGACTGAGAAAGTTACGGACCGGCTGACTCGAGATCCGAAAAACGCTGATTCTAACCCTTAGTCCCTTAAGTCTTGGACTATTGTGGTAAACACACTCGTAACACAAGCATATTTAGCTTAGTACGAGGGGTTCATCGTCATCATCATCTCAGCCACTCGTCCACTGCTGAACATAGGTTTCCCCCAATGCTTTCCATGTTGCCCGGTTGGTAGCGGCCTGCGTGAAATATCAAAAACTACCTATTTTCAAAATAATATGAAATCACTTTCTATAAAATTAAGTAAAATCTATACTTATAATAAATCTGTAGAGAGGTCAATTCTGTACATTAAATATATTTTCAAAATAACTATCAGGGGGTGATTAGTGTTCGATACTGATGCCAAAAATGCAATCAGTAAATTTTTTTTCTGTCTGTCTGTCTGTCTGTCTGTCTGTTTTGTTTTTTGATTACAAAATAGTGTAATAAACCAAACTTACTATGACATGTATACCTCTAAACTCAGTCTGAACTGAGTTACGAGCATTAGAAGTTTGATGATTTTCATACTAGATTTGCTTTTTGTGCGCAAGTTTTGTAAGAAATTGCAACAAAATATTGCGCTATTTTTTTATTGCGCTGATTCTGCTCCATACTGATGTCTGGAGCCTTTAATGGATGGTGTTGTTTGTTTACACATACAATGTCACTATTTTGTTGCAATTTCTTACAAAACTTTGCGCGCAAAAAGCAAATCTAGTATGAAAATCATCAAACTTCTAATGCTCGTAACTCAGTTCAGACTGAGTTTAGAGGTATACATGTCATAGTAAGTTTGGTTTATTACACTATTTTGTAATCAAAAAACAAAGTTTGGTCGATGGCCGCGCGAAAAAAAAAAGACGCCAATTTCCGGCATTGTCTTTTGGCATGCAGGTACCTTACTAAACTTAAAGCTTAGTTACAACAGGATATTGCAAAATTCCCACGGAAACGGGAGTTAGCGGGAAAAAACATTTGTATGAAAAAATCTAAACCGCGTAAGATAGATGAAGGGGGTAAAACGGGATTCACGCGTACGAAGTCGCGGGCGGCCGCTAGTAACTTAATAAATACCTAGGTATTATAGAAAGCACGTAATATTTAAGATGTTCCCTTTGCTAACTGATGTAATATTATGCAGAATCAGATCTGTTTTTAAAGCTTTTATAAATTTTCTATTATTAGGTTATTCATTTGGATTACTAAAAGCTTTTTCCATCAACTTTTCTTATAAAAATATTTTTATATTGTATTCAAATTAGCAAATAGCGTACCGTTGTAAGCGTACACTTTAATCATGGATTTGGTTTACAAATATTTTACATAATTTTATCAGTCTTTAAAAGCGTAGTAATAAAGACATAGTTATGTAGGTATAGGTATGCATGGATATTAAAATTATGATATGACTTATTAAACCGTCTAACATGGCTTTTACGGATTTGTACCAGAGGCAGCAACCGAGACTGACGGCTTATGGTTTATCATATTAAATAATATCTCGTTAAACATGAGCGAAGTTTGATCAATTTAAAATAAATTGCTTTTTAAAAATAAATAGGAAAATAGATATGGCTCTATGGGTAATCACTCATGTTGTGGCATACTAGGCTTTGAAATGAATTGTCAGTCAATTATCCGTAATCAAGTTCTGAAAGCTCATAAAAAGTATGTCAATTGGCAAAAATATCCACTACCCCTATATTCTGGAGTAGTCGGCAGCTTTTGTAGGTATTTCTCATTAATTAACAACCAAAAACGTATTAATCTTATCTTCCATGCTTCGTGAATTGAAAACCTCCTACGCACTACCCAAACTTCTCAATAAAACCTTTTATTAAGTCTCTACAAAGGGATTAGAACTTGGTACTGTTTGAAATGTTCTTTTTATTAGTCTACGGAGTTAATTTGTGCACAAATTGAATCAATATTGAAGTCTAGTGCGCTCAATGTAAGTACTATGTTACTCCAAAGTTCGCAAAACTTCAACATAATGAATACGGTTTGAATAAGTATTGAGTCTAAGTCAAATATTGAACTGGTTCAGATATTACTCACGTTTTTGTTAAATAGCTTCTTTCCATAGAAAAGCCAAACCATTTGGAACCGTCTGGTTTTTTAGGTCTGTTTCTAAAAACTTATGGCTTTTTGATTCTCTGTTATCCAAATGTGCATCTCAAAGAGACCAGGAACGTTAAATATGAAGTAGTTTTTATATGAATTTACATTTATGTAATATCGTTTTACGTAAATACTGAAAATCGATTTCAAAACAAAGGAGAATGCCCAAAAGTGGTATCGCTCGAAATCTAATTGTACATTGAGGGTACCACACCGTAAATTCCTTTCTTCATTTGTAATGATTTGCGAAAGTAGTAAGAAATTGTAAAACCTCCGGAATAAAATCCAATTTTAATAAAAAGTATTGTAACAATGAGCTGCAATCAGCAACACCTATCACCGAGCAACGACACTACGTAGTTCGCACGGTTGTCAATAGATGGCGCTGTTCGTAGTTAGCTCGCGATATCATTTGATTTTTTCCTGTCCTTAAGTAGTCAGGGCTAACCACAAATCCCTTTCCCCTTGCAAAATGGTATAAATAACATTGGTATGCACGCAAGATTATTTTGTGTTTATATCTGATCCTTATCAAATAACGCTAGCTTTGGCGTAGCTAGGGTTTTTTTTAGGCAGGGTAACTATCCACAAATATAAAACAAGTATTCTAAGGTAAAACCTGTAGCTATGCCAATGGACACCATTCATTTCACTTAAACCAAAATTACGTCAAAGTCCGGAGTTTTATAAAAAAAAAAATAACTGTGCCAAATAGTCCTGTATGCATACTATAAATTAAGCTTTATTCGATTAATGTACAATGAATTTGATAGCGATACCAACTCCCATAGTCACTTGGGCATTCTCCTTTCAGCTGAAGCAAACAATTTATTAAAATTGTTAACTTTTGAAAAAATATTTTGCATATACGCTCGATTTCCCGATAACCCATTATCCCTAGTCGTGCTGGAGGCTCATTAAATGTAACGACTTAACAACAAAATTGAATGTTCATTTTTGCATGCACACGCCAAATTTTACAGCCTTCATTTACTCGGGTGAAAGTTACGGACATAAACTAACAGATACGAGTACTCTTATTGTACGTACCAATATCAATATACCTACTATTATTGTATTGTTTTAGTAATCTGATATCGGTCAAAGCATCTTGAAACTTGTAACAATAAACTAAGTAGGTACTCATACTTGTGACATTGATATGCCGATACCAAGTGTTTCCAAATATTGACGACGAATATCAAAAATAAAGAGTACCTATCATGTGTATTTGTGATTTGTTTACATGGTTTAAATTACAGTAATGTTTCTTTGGCTTTTTCAATTTGTAGTTCATTTTTAAATTTCTAAGTATTCTACAAGCCACGAGTTCGACAAACACCCTATGAGATAGTTAGTTTCTGAAACATTATCTCTTGTTGTACCTACCTAAGTTCTTTAATTACACACATATTAAATTATGTAAAACTAGGCGTCATATTATATGTGTGTAAGCTTAATTAACATCATATTTGCTTTATAATTAGAGTAAATAATCTCTTTCGAGATAAAGATAAACATGCTGGCAAGATATTATAATCTTTAAAGGCCACAAATTGTAAAACAAAAGCGAAATACACTTTATATTTACGTTAAATGGAGGCTTCATTAAAATACTCTCGGGACAAATTTTAATATTCTTCATCAATGTCACCTAGGCCTTGAGAAAGGGTACTTTAAATTAAAGTGACGTTATATTCCGCTGTACAGCGTCCCGAAATAAATTAAATTAAGAAAGACCATACTTTCCTTTTAACCGTGAAGAAAACTATGACACCTCAAAAACTACACTGGCATAAGTTGATGAGAGCTATTTTGATGTTTAATTTCACTAATTCAACCCACGCGGGTTCAAATCTGTGGTTTGAGTCGACTAAGGACCCCAAGTCAAAACAGCTTGCTAAGGAAGTGAAGCCTCTAGATTAAGCTGGAAGCCCTTTGATTCTCTTCGTATAAGTTAAGCTAATAACCGCTTTAGCCACGAATCTCGTTCCAGCCGCATGTTGCAACAGCTTGACAGATTAATTAACTTCTAATTCATAATCATATGTACGAAGTTTGCAAATTAAGCGTAGTAGGAAATTAGAAGCTGAACTCTAACGAAATTTATGATGTAGCTCTCCTACTACCATGAATAAATTATATTCGTTTCAAAACTGGAAGTCTTTACTTTTTATCTTGATTTTGAAATATTGGATATATTAATTGCCTGGACAGGATGAGACATCCCGGATGCCATTTTTATTTCACCTAAAATCAATTCAAACTGAGACAGAAAATAGTTTTTTTTTTAGTTTCAGGATTATCAGGGTGATTTTAATAAAGTTTCAAAGAACTACAAATCCGATCAGTCATTGCTCTACCCTTCCCTACTATTGTGACGTGTTCTCATATTAATTTAATAAGAACTTCTTAAATCTCCGCCCAACCCCACTGGAATCAACTGGAGCATTGCATAATAGATCATCTTGAATAACACACGTGCTTATCCCCTTGGAATTAAGTCGAAAGTTGATTACCTATCTCGGCAACAGAATCCGCATCTCTGCATCCGACACAGTGCATGCAATCCGGACGAGGTAAGTGGTGTATGAAATCTGAGGAATCCAGACGGATCCAATATCAGACGTAATTGTTGCATAATTGCTTTCTCATCGCTTCAGCCATGATCCAGTTAGAAGTTTCTAATGCTTACTGTTGCATTAAATAGTTTTGTTTGAGTGTACCAAATAATGGCTTTCAAAAAAGTCAAATTATGTTCGTTCCGTGAGAGATTTGCCTAAGTAGGGATTGATGTCGTAATGGATAACACGTCACCTTTTTATTCGGGTAAGTACGTGGCAACTTTAAAAGTGAACATTATGACTTTCAAAACCGTTTTATACTTTGAGTGTTCACGTCAGCGTCATCTTGATGCGACGGCGCACGACCGCGATCACTGTGATGACGTCACTACCGCAGATTGAGACCCCTCAAAATGTTCCATTGACTCATACACACCCCTTTGGTCCGTCGACCTGGTCACCCTCAAATGGTGATGCGTCAGCGACTGGCTCGACGTCGGCGGTGCGAATAACACGTCGCCCACGTCGGCGTCATCTTGCGGCGACGTCGCGGAGCCGCGGAACGACCGCGACTATTGTGCTGGCGTTACTGCCTCATATTGAGACCCCTCAAAATGTTCCATTGACTCAGACACACCCCTTTGGTCCGTCGACCTGGTCACCCTCAACATGGTGATGCGTCAGCGGCTGGCTCGACGTCGGCGGTGCGAATAACACGTCGTCCACGTCGGCGTCATCTTGCGGCGACGTCGTGGAGCCGCGGAACGACCGCGACTATTGTGCTGACGTCACTGCCTCATATTAAGACCCCCTCAAATGTAACATTGACTCATACATACCCCTTTGGTCCGTCGACCTGGTCACCCTCATCATGGTGGTGCGTCAGCGGCTGACTTGACGTCGGCGGCGCGAAGAACACGTCGTCCACGTCGGCGTCATCTTGCGGCGACGTCGCGGAGCCGCGGAACGACCGCGACCACTGTGCTGACGTCGACTGCCGCGACCTTCTTGTCACCGCCTGTGGAAAAAAAAACATTTTTTTAACGGGTTAAAATGTACAGGAGTGCGTCGAGTAGACCTACAAACGGGGGAAAAATTACAATTTACAATATCGTATGGCGAGCAATATTCGCCCACAACAAATCACAACTCATGACGACCATGACTACTCTGGCAAGAGTGTAACGACTGAAAAGAAGAAGGTGGTATAAATTACTCATTGCAATTAAAAAAAAATCCCAGGAAATTCTTTAAAAATGCATATTAAAACCGCCCGTTCGTACAGTTCATGATTCACTATTACAGCCACGTCGCAAACTTTTACCAAAAAATGTAAATATACTCACATTTTATTAACTAAAGCGTTAACAATTTTAAATATTTTCTGTTCTAACTAATATTTTTCGAATCTATCGTAAACGTCAAAATGCAGAGCGCGCAAAAATTGTATTGAAAACAAAAGACAATCGATATTGTTCGATGATAAAAAAAAGTTTGTTAGTGGCCAGGCGTGACCAAGGAGTTTCGTATACGGCTTCGTCACGGCCCAACAAAAAAAAACAAAAACATGTCCTTTTGAACCTTATTGCATTGACATAATAAAATAAAAATGCCGTAAAATTATGTTTCATTTTCGCTCCATCGCAGGATTCGAGCAGTAGGATTCATGAAATTGAAAATTCTACGAGATTGCAGTATCTGGTTCTATTTCATCCACAAATTAGTATCGACCGTTGCCCGTCTACGTATGAACATGCCTCGGATGACTGGATAAGAAAAATAAGCAGAAAGTGAACACATCGTTTTCTATTTACTGCTTTGGTAGCTTACTCGTATGGATAAAATCTTCTAAGTTATTTTGGTGTGAAAAAAGTAAAAGCTTTCAATTTCCAAATCAAAAGAACGTTCTAAATTCAAAAAAAGTAGTTGAATTAAGAGCGTTTACGCGAAGCGCGGCGTTTCAAGGGGCATCATTGGAAATGATTCGCGCGCGGCGTTTTTTAATAGTTTCCAAATGTTTATAGCAAAACGATAACAAAGAATTATATATCTTTTCAAAGTAAATATTTTAAAGAAGATGTTATTTTATTATATTAAGCTATTTTTATGTTGAATTAAAGAAGAATAATGGTGTAAAAATCACTTTGATTTTTGGGTATTTCACGTTTTTTTAATTTGTGATTTCTTATTGTAAAATGCTTAAATCTAAAAATTTTCTCAGATAACTATTTGCCCAAGGATCTATGCTATAGGATATAAATGTTTGTTAAATCGTTTTAACAGTATTTTTATAAAAATTTCAGCTTGTAAACTGACGCTAAAGTGGAAATTTACATAACCTGTGTGGACTTATCTTGATAGAATTCTTAAATACTAAACTAATCGCAATATTTTCTCAATTAACTATTTAGACGACGAAATTGCCTAACTATTTATGCCTATAACATATTTGTAATATTACTGGTTAATGATTGTAACGAGTTGAAAAAGTACTGTTTTTGCGCCAATCGGCGTAAACGCTCTTAATGAGTTCTGATTGAAAATTAAAAAAAATAAGTAGAAGTTTTTTAATTGAGTTGCAAGAGTCAAATTGTGTTAGTACTTAGTTAAAACATAAAGGACTTCAAAGCTAAAAGGTGCGAGCTCTTAAATCAAAATTAAAATCTCTTTGAAGCATAATTCCCGCAAAAAAGTTAAGAACTTGCGAAGGTCAGATTAACATTTAAATATTCCGATGGGGTGAGTATCTTGAGTGGAATCCATTTCCTTAGTAGGTACGCTTGCCTATACACATTTTATATTTTAAGCCAGAAAAGGGTCACTGCCTCATAAATGAATTAACAGAGCCCTTAAAAACCATTGTAATTTTACAATGGTTTTGACAGTACAAAAGTTTTGTTTCAGTTATTTTAACCAAACTTTTGAAATAATAAATACAAGATAATTATTTTCTTTTATTTCAAATGAGTTTTAACAAACAAAAAACAGTTTACATTCAAACGACAGCTTTGAAATAAGCTCTTAACCCTAAACGGCGGGGCGACTAAACAGTTATAGATGACCCAAGCTGAACTGTCCCACCAAACTCAATGACAGGGGGGCGCTACTATCGTTCAACTATATGGTTTCCAACATGGCAAAAATCGGAACCAGCGATCCGGTATTGACGGTGGCGCCCCACTGTCAATGTCATGCATAGGAAAGTTCAGTATTTTGGAACTATAAGTACTAAAACATTCAACTGTCAAACTTTCGAGCAAGAATTCGATATTCAAAAGTCTCAAATCGTAAAAAAGTCCGACCACGGCATCCGTGTAAGGAGTCGTTTCATCAACGCGACTTCGCACCGGAAGCAGTAGATATGGGGCGGGGCGGATCCTTCCGGGTATTGTAACCGGAACGCAGACCGGCTTTGCCATTATTTACGACGCTAAAGCCTCCGTGGCTACGAGTCGGCCGCCACAGAGTCACGACAGTTTTTTGTTTATACTTTTTTGTTACTTACTTACTGGTGAGCATTTTTTAAGAGTTACGGAAATTAGTCACAGTCATGATATTGTAATTTGGCGATTAGTTGAAAACATTTTCAATTTATCATATTCAAGCATCATAATAATAAAATATGGAAGCAATATTTACCTATTTCATACTGTCCTTTACGGCACAACACTGTTTCGTACTCTACCGTGTTTCGTACTAAACATTTCTAGTGACTAGACGAAGTGCAAGTACTAAAACTTACAGTACTAAAAACGTAGTTATGTGGCACACATCCAGTTACAAAGCATACCAGCCAGTCGATCCCTTAAAGACATCACTTCATAATTTATGTTATGGCATGAAAATATGACCTAATTTGTCGGTCGTATATTTAGTGGCCAGTCAAAATATTCTTTATGCCGAAAAATTGATAGAATCGATTCTTTTTATAGGTTAAGGTTCAAAGAAAAAGGTCAAACTTTGTAAAATTGGCATGTTATTAATGGGGTCATTCTCTGTGAGGGTAAAGCAGGAGGATCTTTACAAGAACTTTTTTACTTGGGTTACGTAGTATGACAACGTCGTATTTGTTTTCTTAGGTATTTTACGGGGCTATAATTCAAAATAAAGTAGGTGGATCATTTCCCAATGTAAACATTTGTTAAGTTACGTTTCTTACCAAATGTTTACAGAGAGAATACTAGCAATATTATTGCTGCTATAACTTTTAGTATTGTAAGTAAGCATTGATTTTCCATATAAATATACCGAAACCATCAGTCCTTTTAGGAAATTCTTATAAATTATGTAACGATTTTCCCGATTTTTCTTCCATTCCTCTCTTTATATAGAACTTGTCTGACCCGTTTTGTAGACCTAGAAATACTCGTATTACTTAAGGCAATGAATGATTACAAGATTATTTAGTATCTTAGAGCAAATATAATAACTAGTGAACCCAAATATTGTGTGGGCGGCGTGTTAATATGTTTGACGTAATTTACATCAACGTTCCGCCCACTCTTATTTTTCAGATACACGATAAATTCAATTTAAACGAATTAATTTCCTTCAAACTTTTAATAAATTTCTGATAAATAATTTGAAATTCGATTTTGACGGTAACTATTTATACCTTTTCGGTCTGCTCATTTCAATTTTACATTAAACGATATTTGATTGACTAAATTGGGAAAATACATTAATCACCACTTCGAATCTAACCTCAAACGTTTAAGTTAGTCTGTCAAATTAACTACTTTATCACCATAGTATATTAATATGCACTAAGTAGCATTAATGAGTATAGAGGCATCTATAAAGTAAGTAATTTTTTTGCAATCCAAGTGATATTTATTTATGCAAGGAAGAGTTTAGAGAAACATTTGTTTGATATTCTCACAAGGAAACGAGATGCAATAAAATGCATCGCATCGCAACAGCAAGTGTTAAACGATATAATGATGTCGCGAAAATGCATTTCAAAACATTCAGTGAATCGATACTCTACCATTAAACGATCTATGACATTGTGGTAGAAGTAATACGGACTGCAAATATTGTTTCTGGTATATTATTTAATATTTGAGTATGTTACTTACGATTTATCTGCAGTATTCCCGAATTGTGAAATGAAATGAAAATATAATTAAAGTGACACACACAGAGAGAGTTTTGATTTTGAACTCTAATGACCTTTTACATGAATGCACAGGCAGTGACGACACAAACACAATAAAAGAATTACAAATTAGTAGAAAAATGTGCTTGGTATTTTTGGAATACTTACCTATATTATTATTTACAGCAATGGAGAATCAAAAATGTAACAAAAGAATAACAGAAAAATCAAAAGTTGTCTCGCATTGAAAACAAGACACGAAAAGTAGCAAACCCGAGGGTACGTTTAACGTCAAACTAACTAACTTGAAATGGGTCCTGGAATGTCACATCGCGATTGAAATCGTCCTATTATGTCTTATTTTTCTGGGTATTTTCTGGAGAAGAAATTTAATGTTTACTCCCAAAGAAATACAAAAAATTCATAGGATCACTCAACGTATGAATATTTCTCGGAAAAAGCACTGATACTTTATCAATGGCCTTTTTTCCAGAATTTTTATTTTTATTTTTTATTATTATTTTTGCTCTGCAATGTTGTTATCTATATTTTTCTCAATACGTATATACGTACTTAGTTGTGTACATTACTTTTACCGCCGAAGGTATGCTACCAGCGTAAAATTTTGATATGACAACAATACTTACTTGTATGTAACTTTAATAACAATAGTAAAGCCCATCGTTCCGTAAGGATAATTTATTTCTTTTTTCCCAAAAATATTATCCCACGAAGCTCGCCATCGTTAAAGACAAAAAAAAACACAAAATAAACTTTTAAGCTGGCTCTGTTCATTCCAAAATGTATGTTAAGGACCGGCTTATAACTCGTGAAAAACACGCACGAAGCTTCAATCCTGCTTTTAAACTGCTTTTAAAGCTTGTGGCGCTACTACGGATATTTACCTAACTTTTTAA